AGACTGGTGTGGTGGTTAAAGGCACTGGACTCCCACATGGATGAATGCAGTTCAAGTCCCAGACCTGGCGACTTGCTTTCTCACTTCCCCTTCTCTCTCTCTCTGCCTCTCTCTGGTCAAATTAAAAAATTAATAATAACAAATAAAATTAAATAAATAAATAAATAATTCTTTTTTTAAAAGTAAGAAAAATGATTGCTTTGTTTCATAGGCCAATTATTAAATAAGAAATTAAATGAAGAAAAAATATAGTTTGCATTAAAGAAATAATCCAAAATTCATGAAATGATCACATTAACAAATCATAGGGAGACCACATGGATATAGGGAAGTGCATGTGTCAAAATCTATGACTTATTACATTAAAACAAAAGTTACACTATATTTTGTATTACTATCTAATAGCACTAAGTGCTAATAGGTACTATTAGGCTGATAGCACTAATGGGCTATTTATAATGGTTTTCGAATAATTTCTAAGAGACTCTGAGCTCTTAAGCTTTGATGTTTTTAAACTTTTAAGCCAAGTCTGCATACTTTTAAAAATAATATCACTTACCTACTAAACATATTCTTATAATTAATGGTAACCATAGATACTGCTATTCATTATACAAGTCCTGTGTTAGTAGATAGTTCTGAAATGCAATAGATGCAAGTGCCAATAATAATACATTGCATGACTTTTCTGCAAAGGAAATTGCTAGTATTCTTACAGTGAAGAAGTAGTGTTCATAAGGTAGTAATGGCATCTGGGAAAAGATTCACCCCAAACCCAGCACAGGTGGTAGCTTACTGATCTGCAGTGCTAGAAGCCACAGGCTGATCATGGTTTGGATCCCAAGATGACCTGAAACATGCCAGGCACACAAATGGACATCCGAGAAACTGACTTGCTGGAGAGTGGGGAGGGGTCACAAGGAGGTGAGATCCTACCGAGAGTACCTTTATCTCTCACACACATGTGCTCTATCACTTATGAAGGGAATAAAACAAACTTAAAATTAAGGTCCATCCCAATATTCAAAAGTTGCTTAATCAAATTCATTGGCTGTCAGCTGAAATAGGAATGTTTCAGGTTAGCAGTTGGTGTGGTGAAGGTGGTAGGATCCCACATGGCTGACTGTATGGTTTAGAGTCCTAGACCTGGCAGTTTGAAAAACATGCCAGGCCCATGTGTGTGCACAGCCAAAATCCTGAGAAGAGAAAGGAGGAAAAGGGATTGTGCTGTGATCATCCCCCCCGGGGAGTCTTTTCTCATTCCCCACCCCCTCTTTCAGGTGAGCACATGGACCACATAGTAAACATTTTTTATAACATATAGGAATGTTTCATTTACCCCTTCTTTTAAAAAAATTATTTATTCATTCAATTATCTTCATTTGACCAGAGAAAGACAGATACACAGAGAGAAGGAAAGTTAGAAAGCAAACCACCATGTCCGAGACTTGAACCATGGTCAGCCATGTGGGAATGTCAAGCCCCTTAACCACCATGCCACGTGCTGGCCCTGGAATGTTTCATTTACTTCTTACAGGGAATTTTTAAAACTGAAGAGGAGAAAAAAATAATAGCAAAGCAAGAAACAGCTACCCAGTTACTTATCAATATCAGTTGGGTAATTCTTTCCTACTTTGGATCTAGAGGTTCTATGAAATTCAAATACAAATGAAAAAAACTCCAGAAAAATTACATTAATTTTACATTTATTTTTGCTGAAGTCTACATTATAATTCAATTAGAAGGTAAAATTATCTAGTGTTTGGTTTTCGTCAGACGATGGCTTTTGTCTAATGATGTTTAAAAGTGAAAACAATGGGAGCTAAGGTGATGGGAGTAAATAATTCTCTGAGATCTTCATAGCTAGTTTATATTCCAAATTGGTTTTTAAGAAAGGAGAGATAATGATCAAAAATCAAAGTCTAATCAAAGGAAATTCTTCTAGTGTGTTTAGTTTTCTAGATTTCTAGCCACAATATTTGAAATTACTATCATTACTACACATATCTGCTTTTTTTAACTGGAAATGATTTTAGAATTTATATACTCTAGAAACTGCTGCTTAGAAATTAAATGTCTTGAAACTCAAGCTGGGAGTGTGTGCATGCATGCCTAAAATCCCAAGAAAAGAATGAAGAAGAGATTTCGGCATGGCTACTCCACCGTGGGGTGATTTCTCTCTCTCTCCCTCTCTCTCTCTGTGTCTGGTGAGTACACACATCCTATAGCAAAAATCTTTCTTAAAAACAAAGTTGCAAATTTCTAATATCAAGTAGATCAGGTGGTTATAGGACCACAACAGGAAAAAATTAAACAGCATATATGAAACATGAGTTATCACTGGGGATTTTGTATTTGGGAAATATCTAGAAACAGAAATTCCCCTTAAACATGTAAATCTGCTGTTCCATTTGCACATATTCAACTTCTTTATATGTTTTCAGGTTTATGTATGTGTAACATGAGAGCACTAAATTCTCATGCTACTCTGGATTCCTTCAGTGACCAAAAATGTGATTTGCTAAATAAGACTTTGCTATAAGATATTATTGACTCACTGAGGCATATCTTCAAGAAATATGTGATCAATTAGTTAATCTTTTGCAAGTCATCAAACAGTTATTGTTTACCTCCTGTGTGTCAGGCTTACACTGAACTCTGAGTGACATGAACACAGATAAGACGGAGCTGACCTGACAAAGATTCTGAAAGGAGATCCTAATATCAGTGTCTGCAGATATCATAGTTTATCGTATGTAAAGTAGAGATATCAAGGATCAGAGAGAAAATATGGCTGTCCCGAAATAAACAGAACCAGAGTCTAAACATAGGTCTGCTGACACCTAGTTCAATGCTCTTTCTTTTTGATCACTCTTTTAGAATATGTGACTATAAAAAGAGGATACCCACAGATGGAGACAATTTAAACATGTGCTACCTGAATGGTAAAGGTAAATTTTATGCAGATAGCCTTGGCTGAGATCTCTCAAATCTTAAGACAGCCACTCTTCCTTCTCACTTGTGCAAAAGAGCTTAACATTTATCTCGTCATCTTAACAGAGTATGGGGTTTTATGTATTAATGATGAGGCAGGAGGGACCAGCAGATGGCATAATTATGTCACTGGATTCATAGTCAACTGTGGTTTGAGTTCCAGACGTGGCTTAAAACTCATGCTGGGCAGGGACCAGCAGGTGGTGTGGTGGTTAAGGCGCTGGAGACTCCCACATAGCCAACCATGGTTTGAGTCCCAGACCTGGTGGCTTGCTTATTTAATTTCTCTCTTTCTCTGTCTCGCTCTGGTCAAATTAAAATAAAATAAAATGAATGAATGAATAAATAAAATTAAATAAATAATTCTTTAAAACACACACACACACACATGCTGGGCACATAAATGCATGCCCTAGAGCCCAGGCAGAGAATGGAGGAGAAGGGACTGCAGCGTGGCCATCCTCCTTGGGGAGTGATTTCTCAATTTCTTGCTTTCTGTCTTTGTCTCTTGCGAGCCCACGCACCCTACAACAAAGATATCTCTAACAAAATAAATAAAAATAATGAGGCAGGAATGGGCATGTTCCTGCGAATCAGTTTCTACTAACTCTGACCTCTACCCATCTAGACCCTCTTTTGTGATCCTGCCTTTTCCAGCCACTTCATGATTTTCCTTCTGATTTCTTTCTGTTTAGGTTTTGGAGAGCTACTCATGGTTCCTTCTTCTTTCTGAGGTGCTTCCTTCCTCCTCTTTAAAAACGACCCTTTAGTTTTCTTTCTGACCCTGTGTAATATTTTCTTTTTCTTTTTGAAGAATTTAGCCTGAAAGGAAAAAATATGTTTAACTGACTGCTTTATGAGATAACAAAATTGAAAATTTTATTTACTATACTTAACAATGATTTATTACATGATTTATTGAAGTACAAAGTAAAGAATTGAAAATAGGGGGACCAGCACATGGTGTAATGATTACACTCTTGGACTCCCACATAGTCTACTATAGTTCCAGTCCCAGACCTGGCGGATTAAAACTCATGCTGGGCACATGAGTGTGTGTGCCCAAAATCCCAAAGGGAGAATGAAGAAGGGATTGCAGTGTGCTATCCCCCAGAGGGGTGAATTCTCACTTTCTGTCTCTCTGGCAAGCACACAAACCTGATAGCAAAAATATCCCTCTTAAAAGAGAGAGAGAGAGAGAAAGAGAGAGAGAGAGAGAGAGAGAGAGAGAAAGAAAGAAAGAAAGAAAGAAAGAAAGAAAGAAAGAAAGAAAGAAAGAAAGAAAGAAAGAAAATAAGGACCAACAGATGGCATAATAGTTATGTCACTGGACTCCCACATAGTCAGTCGTGGTTTGAGTCCCGGACCCACTGGCTTAAAACTCACGCCAGGCACATGTGCATGGGTGCCCAAAATCCCAAGAGGAGAATGGAGAAGAGATTACAGTGTGGCCATCCCTCTTGGGGGTTGATTTCTCACCTTCTGTCTCTCTGGAGAGTGCATGCACCCTCTAACAAAAAATCTCCTCCACCCCCCCCTAAAAAGAAAAAAGAATTGAAAACAAGTGTAATACAAACATACACAAATTTGGAGTATTTCTAACAGTCACAAAAGCACTACAAGGACCTTTGTAATTTTCTAGTTAGGATCATTACCTTATCAGCAAATTTGAGGATGGTCAAATCAGAAAGATGTTTTGTAAGAAACAGAAATGTAATATGCAAGGCCTTATTAACTCTTATGGTGACTACTGAGTTAATATTCAGAGGTCAACAAAAATTGAATTAGTCCTTCATATATATATAGCATGAGAGTTCATTTAAGGCCAGCCTTTTGCTTGGTTCTTTCTGTAGAAGCATTTGAAGGCACAGCTGTCCTAACCTGACCAATGCTTATTTGATAAGATAAATAGGTATTCAGGGATTCCTCACATACAATTCTAGAAGAACTTGGAAATCTTACTAAACAATAGAATATATACACAGAAATTGTCATTGTTTACTCACCTTTCCATCAAAGCGTTTTATTATATATTGATCAAGGCCCAAGTCTGTAAAAGAGAAGGAATGAACAGTCACTGATTTCAACTCAAGCAAAATGACAGTTGTCAGCTTTGTTTCCAATTATCCAATTAAATATGCTAGATGGTTTAACCACACATTTATTCAAAGGCCACAGGACTGAGTATTATGTCTCTTTCAGACTCCATGTGTCAATGCTAAAGGATTTCACCCCTTTTACTTTATATATCAGAAAAGTGAGGCTCTGAGAGAGTAAAAGTTGCATGTGCAAACATTCAACATTAAAGTCAATCTAGAATGATGAACTCCTCCCTGGATGGTGCTCTTTTCATTACATCAATGTGTTTTATTACCTCTAATTCAGATGAGGTTTCTTTAATCTGAATGCACAATAATTTTTTGTATCAAGTTAAAATAAAAGAATTTAGTAACAAAAGAACTTCTGCAAAACACCTCAACAGACACAAACAGATCATCTTAATAGTCCTTTAAAAGTTGAACTAAATAATAAATGTTTTGTTGGGCATTCCTAGCTTTGAAATCTGAGTACTATGAAAGATAAAAGTAAATAATTTGGACCAACAGTGGGTGTGATGGTTAAGGTATTAGATCTCACATGGCTGATTCCACAGTTTGAGTCCCAAACCCAGTGGCTTGAAAAACATGCCAGGAACATGTGTATGTGCGTCCAAAATTCCAAGAGGAGAATAAAGGAGAAGGGACTGTATAGCATGGCCAATCCCTCCCTGGGGGGACGATTTCTCACTTTTTCTCTCTGTCTCTCTCTGGTTAGTGCATGTGCTCTAGAGCAAATTTTTTAAAAAAGAAAGAAAAAAGAGTAAGAATCAGACTAGAATCTGATGTCTCATGAGCACAAAGTGGTATATCAACTAAGGGAGATGCATGCTTACTAACTGGAGCATCACCAGCCCGGCATGAGTTTAAGCCACCAGGTACGGACTCAAACTGCGGTCGACTACATGAGAGTTCAATGACATAGCCATTACGCCAACTGCTGGTCCCATCCAACAGAAATATATTATGAGTAACAAGTAAGAGTCATGTTTATAATTTAAAATTTTCTAATAGCCACCCTTAAAAAGGTAAAAAGAAATAAGTAGAATTAATTTTAATAATGTATTTTATTTAACTGACTATATCCAAAATTATGTTTTATACTAAGCTTGCAGAATCTGGTATATATATATTTTATAATACATATATTATTACATCCCAATTCAGACTTGTCACATTTCAAGTGCTCAGTAGCCACATGTGTTCAGTGGCATGAAATGGGGGGGGTTGGAGATGAAACAGATTTATGGTTTAATTTTACGCTCTTCATTATATTTTGGAAAATATTTTACTACGTGCCTTTGCAAAAAAAGGCATGGGGGAATGTATGGACAGCTCAGCACTTACAGAGAATTCCTGTCACTTAACAAGCAAATGCTGATGTAAAGTACACGAAGAGTTGAACATTAAGTTGAAAGAAATGATTAATTCACCTTGCTATAGTTTGATTTCTTTATCTGCCAAATTAAGTAGATGACTGGATTAGATCAATTCTTAATATGATTCAAAATGGAGTGTGGTGGGGTCGGCAGGTGATGTGGTGGTTAAGGACGCTGGACTCCCACATGGTCGACTATGGTTCAAGTCCTGGACCTGGACTCACCTGATTTACTTTCTTACTTTTCTTCTCTCTTTCTCTCTCTCTCTCTCTCTCATTCTGTTCCTCTCTGATCAAATTAAAAATAAACAGATAAATGAAGTTAAATAAAATAATTCTTTAAAAAAAATGGAGTGTGGATGGGTAAAAATAATTCAGACTGTCCTCATGTACTACTTCTCTAGAGATTCTAAAATCCCAATGATTGGGGGTAGAGAGAGCATGGAAAATGAAGGGAGTAAAAACAGCTCATGTAGGCTGAAAATGATACTCAGGGGTGAACCTATCGCCTAGTGGTTGAAGGAACTGGGTCTCACATGGTCAACTGCAGTTGAGTACCAGTCCCAGTGGCTTGAAAAACACACTGAGCACATGTTTATGTGTGCCCCAAATTCCAACAGGATGGAGAAATGGAGAAGGGATTGAGGCATGACCACACCCCATTGGGGTGTGCTTTATTTCTGTGTGTGTGTGTGTGTGTGTGTGTGTGTGTGTGTGTGTGTCTCAGGCAAGCACATGCACCCTCTGGCAACAAAACAAACAAAAAAACTGATATGTAGGCGACAACCACATATAACATGGATCCTCTTTCATTTCTTCATCTAAACACGTTGGTCCCACCTTAGAAACAATGAATGCTATGTTGTTTTCTCTAAAGTGTTTTCTATGATTCTTTTCTTCAAGAAACTTTGACAATATTTAATGTTCACAGTGTGATGTAAACACTGCCTTCATCCTCTTAGGAATGAGAAAGCTGAGACAAAAGGGTTAAATGAGTGTCTTCTGATTTTAAGTCTAATTTTCTTTGAATTATGGCAGTTGCCTCTTCCTGAGTCTACACCAAAAATAATGTAAAAGGACAGAAATACTATAATACTCTCAGTTGAGGCTCAGAGTAGCATTTAAAGGAGACTTGTTTTAAAGACAAAGGCAGCTGATTTGGTGAAACCTATTGATTTGACTTGTTTTTTTAAAAGAGATTTTTGCTATAGGGCACATGCACTTGCCAAAGAGATAGAAAGAGTCAGAGACAAAAAGTGAGAAGTCACTCCCCAGGGGGGGATATCCACACTGCAATCCCTTCTTTTCCATTCTCCTCTCGGGATTTTGGGCTCGAGCATGCAGGCATCCAGCATGAGTGTTAAGCTGCCAGGTCTGGGATTACAAACTGCAGTCGACTATGTGGAAGTCCACTGACATAACCATTATGCCATCTGCTGAAACCCATTTTATCAAGACAAAAGAGCAACTGAATCAAATACATCATTTCAAGACCTATAAATTGAATTTATTGAAAACTCTAATTACAGTTAAGAAGTCCCAGCTAGCTCCCATTTAGAAATTCATTTTCACTTTACATGTGAATTTATCCTAACCATTTGGGAAAATTGCTATTTTTTAGTAGTGCAAGCTAATACCACCTAGCAAAAGAAACTGTACTTCTAGTTTATCAGATATGGAATATTATTATTACATCTTATTTTCTGTCTTAATAATCACTATGTAAATTAATACTTATTGAATATCTTTGTAGGCTCTTTAACAGGTGCTTTATATATCTGTATCTCACTTAATTTCTATAATCCTACGAATTAGTTGCCATACTATCTCAATCTTACAAATGACAAAATCAAGCTGGTCTTGTGACCTAGTGGTTAAGAAAACCAGATTCCACATGGCCAACTAAACATTCTGGGTCCTAGACCTGGTAGCTTGAAAAACACACCTGCTGTGTGTGTGTGCATGCCCAAAATCCTGAAAAGGAGAGAGATGTGAAGTGACTGAGGTATGACCATGCCCCACTGGGGGGTGGTTTATCCCTTTCTATGTCTCCTAGTGAATGCACACACCCTCTGGCAAAGAAAAAAGAAAAAAAAAATACAATTGACCAAATTAAGATTTAGAGGTATTAAATGATTCTCCTAAACTCACACATCTATATTTCTACTTCCTCCCAGTCATCTTCATACACTCCTTGCTCACTTTCTCAACTCCTTTGATTCTCAAGCCGCCAGGTCTGGGATTCAAACTGTAGTTTGTCATGTGGGATTCTAGCACCTTAACCAATACACCGCCTGCTGGCCCCAACAGTTTTTATGTATAAATATTTTTTCCTCTTAAGTTTCTTTTGTATGAAATAAGAAATCAAAATAAATGTCTGGTGGAGTTTTCATGTATGTGACGTAATTCCTATGACACTAGAACATAAGGAGGTATCTATTAATATATAGTGGTAAGATATCTATAGTCCACTTGAAGTGATAAAATATAAATTCTTAGGCCAACGGTGATTAAGGTGATTAAGGCACTGGATCCCATATGCCAGACTGCAGCTTCAAGCACATGTGCCCTACAGCAAATTTGAAAAAAAAAGTAAAATTGTGTGTATACACACACACACACACACACACACACATGCATACTCACTCAGTAGACTGTAAAAGTTAAGTATGTATATTACAATCTCTAAACTACTAAAATTAATTTTTTGTATAATATCCAACTTTGTAACACTCAAAAAGATCAATTAAAATATACTAAAAATATTTCAATAATCCAAAAACAACCTCTTTCTAGAGGTAAAAACATTTTTTAAATGGGAAAAAAGGGAAAACAAAATGGCTTTAATCCAAGCATATCAATAATTACACCGAATACAAATCACCTAAGTGAAATCATCAAAAAGTAGAAAGAAACTGTCATATTCAGGCAGGAGTGCTGGGTGATCAGACCCAACACCTATGTCGGTTCTTGTCCTGTGCTCACAAAAACACAGACACAAAGAGGAGAGGAAAGTGGAATTTATTCGGGAAGGAGAAAAAGCTTCGTATATAATGAAAGGGCACCGAAAGGGTTGCCAAAGAGGAGATGGAGGCAATGGGCCAGCTTTCTGATAAGGGAGTGGGCTTTAGGAAATAGTTTCATGGTAGTCTGAGTGATTTATTACTCCATTCTTTGTGGGGTCAGCAAATCATAGTGTCCTGTACTTCTCGTCAGAATACAGTTACAGAATAGAAATAGTCGCCCTTAGCTACAGTTGCTCTAAGTCGCAATACAACCATTTTTTGGCTCTGTAAACCTAGCCACTGTGACTCCATCTTGGCCTTATCCCATCTGTGTGCTCAATATCCCTATCTTCTGCCTTACTAACTAGAAGTCATAAATTCTTAAGAGACATGTAAAAGGGGTATATATGGTACATTAATCAGACTACAGAAGAAAAACACAGAGATTTCATTAAAAAAACAAACAAACATAGTGACCTCCTCTGGGGGTCTTTTCCCTATTTACCTGTGAGGTCTACCTCCTATCTCAATATTGGATTAAACACAAGATCAAACTATGTGTTGTCCATAA